ATAACTTCCTGCATGATACTTACCACTTTATAATTATTCAGAATAACTTACCCTTATAAAACCTCGACCCCTCTTTTCAAATAACTACCTTTCAATATTCTACAATTATTACAAACCTTTCAAAAACTCCGAAAACCTGTGAAAATTCATGACAAAGAAACCTGACATCATAATTCCACGAATGGCTAATAATAGAAAATTCATCATAAATTCAAGGAAGATGGTACATATTATAATTCATAGAACTAATTGACCTCCTTAACTACCCACGGATTCCAAGAATTAGAACAAAGGAATCAGAGTACCACCTCCCTTTCAGTTCACATAATATAAATACGCCGCACTCGCAGCAGTGTTATGCAGTTTAAGATACACATAGTTCGAGATTAGTTACCAGTTCATATCAGTTAACGAGTGACGTCTAATCAGTAGTGCAAACCGCCAGCGCAACCTTACATTAAGCCGAGATACATTAAGTATAAAAGAACCTCTTGTACTCAACATTTTAATTAAATAATATTTTATTTTTAATATATTTTCTTTATGGTAGTTACCCTTTTGAATGGCGACAAGTTTTGTAACGTACATAAATACAGTTTGCTTGTACACATCGCATTTATCGCATTTTCTTTAAAATACAGTCCACACATGTTACGACATACCATATACAAAAAAAATTTTGAAGACTGTCCTCGAAAGTGCAAAAAGTCCTCAAAATGTACTATCTGTATCAAAAAATGTCCCCGAAATGTACCAAAGCAATATATATACATATATATCATACATCCGTGTGAAGATTCTCCAACGCTACAACTAAACAACAGCAGTAAGTTTTCTGCTCGCTTATTCAAAACCTCCTCCGACACGAAGCCATATCTTCAGCAGCAGCCAGTCATCGGAAAGCCGATCGGTTCACTGACCAATTATCCTGGGGTTTCAACTCCTTAACTGCGAAAGAACCCGCAATTCATACTATAAAAATAAATATTAAAACTTAGGTGTCTACGCTCATTGGCAGGTTTTACCAACCCGCTAGGACGTGACAAGCTAAATTTTTGGTGGCAGAGAAGTGGGATTTGCCTGTTCATTAGTTGGAGACATCCGGCGCCGAAGCTAAAATTTCGGCAACTGCTTGGTGGGATTGCTCTTCAACAGCTCGAAGATTCCCCGACGACGACGACGGAATTGCCATTGAATTATCACGCCTGAGGGAAGATAACCTTGGATATTTCCTCGACGACAACGACGGTAACGACGAGATTGCCCGACACTAGTCTCAGCCGAGATATACAATCGTGGATATTCTCAATCGTGTCACGACGAGCGACAGCAGGGATAAGGCTACAACCGATTTCTCGATGACTTCTACGAAGATTCTACTACTCAACGTATTCCTCATTGCATCCGATGCGTAAGTCACAAATCTTACAAATAATAAATATACAAATACGCATACGCAAGCTCCGCAATAATTACGCATATACGAGCTCTACAATTCCAAGAATCAAGAAGAATAATAATATATATATACGCATATACAAATTCAAAGAGAGACAAATCCAAGAAGAAGAATAATAAGAAAAATAATACGTAACAAATACATAAAAAGAGAGAGAATTCAAGAATAATAATAATAAAAATAATAACGTACAATAAATAACTTCACCCACACACGCAATTACAAAGAGAGAAAAAATCAAAATGCACACTGACGAAGTCAACTCACTCACTCACCAAATTCAAAATTTAAACTTTAATGAAGATGGACGACGCTCCGCTCCTTATATCAGTCTACGCCACGCCGCTGAAACAATTCTTCCTTTTGATGGTAAAAATATGCCAGTATCACAATTCATTAATAACTGCACACACGCGAAGAATATGGTATCTCCAACCGCAGAATATGATTTAGTTCAGATGATTAAAAATAAATTAGTAGGACCCGCTCTAAGAGTTGCTTTAAGTGAAGAATACAATGACATTGAATCATTATTAAATTGTTTAAAAACTCGTTTCGCACCAGTATACTCAACTTCTCAATTACATGGAGAAACAGTCGTAGATTATGGTAGTCGTGTATCAATGATTTTGCATCAATTAAAATCTACATATCAAAGTGAAATCCAAATCAAGCTGCACAATTTATTAACTCCGCAGAAACAATCGCTGTAAAAAATTTTCTAACTGGTTTAAATAATGGCATATATACGAGACTGCAATCTCGCGAAATTTTAACATAAAATAACGCCATTGAATTTGCAATCAAAGCTGAAACGGATTATAATGAGCATAGGCAAAGAACGAAAATAGCCGAAGGTCTTATGCAATCTCTACGCTGTAATAATTGCTTTGGATACGGTCATGAATCACTCTCGTGCAGTATAGTCAATCCACTAGCACGCGTATCACACGTACAGTGGTAACTAAAAGTTTGTACGTTCTGCATGAAAGTAGGTCACGTACGCGCTCAGTGCCGAGCATTACAACCGCAATCGCCGATAAGTAATCTAAACGTTATGAATAATCGCTTCAATCAACAGTACGCCGTGAATAACAGAAATGTAGGAACATTCTGTCGATATTGTAAAACTCCAGGACATACTCTTGATCAATGTCGTAAGAGACAGTATAATAACGAACGTTATAGATCGCCACGACCGCCTGAAGATCAAAATCAAATAAGATTTAATAATAATAATATTCGCAATGCAACGCAGGGAAACCAAGAGAGGGTACAGCGAGTAGGCGCTGCGCTGAACGAACGCCCACGGGTGCGCCGCATAGCTCAAGGACAGCAGACGGATATGCTCACATAGGAATCACGAACGATGTGACTAATCGACCCCCTAATATTACACTACCGAGTGATGATCTCATTGACAATCGCGCTAGTTTCATGATTGATACAGGTTCTGACTTGAATCTTATAAAAAGATCGTTATTGAAAAACGAAGTAGCTATTGATTCTCGGACAGTTTTCGAGCTCACTGGAATAACGAAAGGACGAACACGAACAGTAGGCGTAGCAACTTTGCGCATTTCTGACGATAATGTTTTGTTCCACGTTGTCTCGGACGAGTTCCCTATTGGTGCAGACGCAATCATAGGTACGGAATTCTTCCGAAATCATAAGGTGACAATTGACTACCTGAGGGAATGTCTTGTTACCAAAGGCATAGCATACTACTTTCAGAACGATGAAACAGTTCAAGTACCAGCACGAACACGTAAGCAAATGTATGTTCATGTTGCAGACCCGGAAATTCAATATGGATATATACTGTCATTGGATGCCGGACCTCAAGTATATCTGGGAAACGCAGTCGTATCTAATCGTCAAGGTAAAGCACATTTATACATCGTGAATACTGACGAGGATATCAATATCCTGAAGTAGAGATACCCACGATACACCTGTATCCATTTGAAGAAGGAAACACCCTTGTCGAACAAGAAAATCATGAACATTCTACACGAGACAGAGTAGAAGAAATAATAAGTTTATCGCGACTCGAACATTTAAATGAAGGAGAATATGATAACGTTATAAATTTAATTTCGCGACACGCCGATAGATTTCATTTGCCAGGAGAAGCACTGGGAGCCACAAGTGCAGTGACTCATCGAATCCCCACTACTGACGAGCAACCGATTAATGTTAAACAGTATCGCTATCCTCAAGTACACAAAGAAGAGATACGACAGATCGATGACATGCTTAACAAAGGGATAATCGAAGCTTCAACCTCTCCGTATAACTCTCCGTTATGGATAGTACCGAAGAAGGACGACTCGCAAGGAAATAAAAAGTGGCGACTTGTTATAGATTTTCGCGCACTCAATGAAAAAACCATCGGTGATGCATAACCTTTACCAAATATCGTAGACATTCTTGATCAACTTGGAAGTGCAAAATATTTTTCTATATTCGTCTTAGGCTCTGGATTTCATCAAATAAAAATGAGCAACGAAGATAAACATAAAACTGCATTCTCAACTCCCTACGGACACTTTCAATACAACCGAATGCCATTTGGACTTAAAAATGCCCCCGCTACATTTCAACGCTTAATGGATCAAGTTTTATCTGGATTACAAGTGTTACATCTCTGCGGAATGTATTCTTCAGCGACCGAAACTCTACTCCCCTGCCAAGTCCACCCCAGTGCCTCGACAAGTGTTGATGTTGTCAAAGACAACGAACCGCCTATGCGAGTAAAAGAATACTCTTGCTCTGTCTTACGCGACTATTTACGTAAAAATGTGCAAACTAATGATAAAGACTAGCCTCCGGTAACATTCTCTTATAAGGGGGGGGGGGGGGGGTGTTACATCCCTGCGGAATGTATTTTTCATTTTTGCTAACAATATTTTTGCCTGTTCTTATATCTTATTTCCAACCAATAATCAGTTCATTTAATTAATAATCAGTTAAAGTAATGTTCTATTTAATTATTATATTATAATCTTTATTCTGCTATGTTAAGATTTATTGCATTTATTAAAGTTCTTTATGTTCATTAAATTCATTAAGTTGCTTTTAAATATGTTAGATTTTCTATTGAATATTATATCTTTCATCATTTTTTATGTTAAGCTATCTTTTAGGAGCGACTAGATATATTAATTACGCTGTATTTCTTTATTAAGTTACGCTAAATTTTCTATTAGTAATTATGCTTCTATATTCCTCACATTAATTATATCCTTTACATTATGCGAGTTTAAATGTCTTTAGAAATATGTATAAGAAGGCCAACATATAAGTTATATCTTAAAACGCGGCTAAGTACTCGCGATTATATATATATGTGTATTAATCATCCTAAGACTCTTTCCAAGCATCCTAAGTTTTCCCGGTGCATCCTAAGATGTTCACCGCATCCTAAGCGTGAGTTATCGCGCTCTTCTCTTTGTGCTGTTTTTCGCTCTGTTACCCCTTCCTTAGCGGTCCCCACTTTCGCCGCCTCCTACCTCAGCGGTCCCGTCCAGCGGGCCTCTTACGCTCTCTTCTTTATGCGGATCATCGCCGCCAGCTCCTCAGTAGTGTTGGCTAAACCTCGATAGTCCAACTATTCGATAGTTTTTGAATGAATAGTAAAAACTATCGAGAGATCTTTGATAGTAGAAAAAATATCGATACTATCGATAATAAAAAAAAAAATTGAATTTTTGGACTTAATCCCATTTGTCGATTCAATTATCTTACTTAGAAGAAGAAAATACAATAAATAAATAAAGTGATTAATAATTCAAAATCTACATAATCCAAGCAATTAAAATGGGATAAATAATAAATTAATAAGCTGCCGAATTTATATATATATATATATATAAAATTGTAATTATATATATATAAATTTCAATTAATTTTATTTATATATATATGTATATATATATATATATAATAAACTATAATAATTCAATATTTAAAAAAATGTATTTCTATATTTAATTAAATTTTTGCATTTGAGGCTAAAATTTGTAAAACGTTTCTCCGACCAAACCTTTTTCATAAGAAATCGTTATTGAAACATCCATCATTGCAATATATATCTTATTTTATTGTTATAATAAATTATATATATACCTTACTTTATTGTTACAACATATAACTTAGGCTGCGTTCCAATCTTCACTACCAGTGAATGAACAATGCTAAATCTATAATATACGTAACGTATACCATAGATTTTCAGTACTAGCAGTGATATCGGAACGCAGCCTTACAGTACAATAGTACATACATGTCGTATGTCTCATACATACTATATCACTATGTAATAATGTATCACAGGATCTTTGTACTAAACGAGAAATTATTACATTGCAATTTGCCATAAAGAATAAAAAATAACATATTATATAATATGTAATCAAAGAATTATGAAAATTATTATTAACTCGCATAATTGTGTTGATGTTATAAAATAATCTCTATAACAATTTTTCAATTATTTACAGAGTATGATGTTAGCCATGAATTTTGGCGTATAAACAACAAAAAATTTAATTTTTCTGGCTTTAATCTATTTCGGCGATCAGTAAGAATTAGTCCAGCATTCGAAAACACTTGTTCGGATGGTACAGACGAACCCGGGATTGATAAATATTTATGTGCTAATGATCTTAATGTATCTGATGGATAATTTTTCCAAAACTGAAAAACAGAATGTGATCGTTCACAAGTTTTCAATTCTAAATATTGCCTTGCACATATTATTGCTTCAGCGGTTGATGATGATTTTTCGTAGGTAGTCTTTTTAAGATTGTCAATAAAGTATAATAAATCGTCCTCTTTTTCTAAATTGCTTGACGTCAACGAATCAATGCTTTTATTTTCATCTACATATTGTTTGGAATTAAATTCCGCAGTCAAAATATTAAGAAATAATTTATCCGCATTTTCTTTTTGACTATTATTTCTAAAAGCAAGCATTTTGTACCTTGGATCTAGTATCGTTGCCATAATGTTTGCTGTTCTTAATTCGTACGGATAAAGTCGAGTTACAACTTAGGATTTTAATTTTTCAAAAACTTCTTTTCCTACGTTGGTTTTAAGCGAATTTTCAACAGAGTATAATTTTGATGAAATGCCATTTATTAATGGAATTATTAAAGACATTGTCACATACTGACTTCCAGAGATATCTTTTGTCGCCAATTCCAAAGGATTTAAAATTAAAATTAGATCTTCTAAAATCAATATGTCTTCAGCTGTCAAAGAATTGGGAGATTTTCGCAAATTCAACATTGCTAATAGTAATGAGTCGCGAACTTTTAATATTCGCTGAATCATGTAGAAAGAACTATTCCATCGTGTCGGAGTATCTTGTAAAAGTTTAAGCTCTTCTTTGTGAAGTTGTTTTTACATATCTCGGAACTTGTCCATTGCTACCGTACTGCTTCGGAAATATGTAACAATCTCTTTTACATGTTTCAAAATTGGTTTCACACTTGTTGTTTCTAATGCATCTAACGTGACTAAATTAATCGTATGTGCAAAACATGCTGAATGACGAATTTTTAAAATTGCAGCGGTTTTTATCATATTTGACGCATTATCAGATACCATTACAAAAATTTTCTCACGAATATTCCACTCTCGTAGTATCTCATCTAGCTCTTGAAAAGATTTGTGTTAAAATTATTGAATTGTGCTACTATTTATTATTTTCAAATATAGCTAAATCAATTAAACTAAAACAGACTCAATAAATATATTATGTATCGTGATTTTTACTTTCGCAATATGCTCTGCCGTGTGGTGTCCTACTACTTTCCGAATTTCTAGCATCGCTGATTTGATATCATTATCATATATAAAATGAATCGTAAGCGTCAAGATACCATCATTTGCTGTAGACATCCACATATCCGTTGTTATGGATATATGATTTACAGTAGACAGAATTTTGACCAAGATAGCTTTCATTTGATTGTAAAGTTTCGGAAGTAAAACATCCTTCAATTGCGTTCGAGACGGCAATTCATATTTATTATCTAGCTCGTGAATAAATCGTTGAAAGTACTTTCGTTCTACTATACGAAATGGTTCAAGATCATGTGCTACATATTCTACCAATAACTGGTCTAATTTAATTTTACGATCGCTATTTTTATCGTAAGGAACATATTGCTTCGTCATGTAATTCTTGATTGTGACCTTTCGTCGCTTTACAGTTGTACTTGGACCAGCAACCGGATCATCACAATCGTCTGCATCTGATTCACTTGTTGTTTCAACATCATTTTGTTTCCGTAATCTATCCAATTGTAATTTGTGTTTTCGCTTACAGTGATCCAACAAATTTGAAGTGTTCCCACTGGTCCTGTATTCGTTTTTACAAATATTGCATTTGGCGAAAGATCCATCTTTATTTTTGGTAAAAATTTTCCATACCAGAGATTTCATGCTTCTGAAAAAAAAAATTATACGATTCACTTTAAAAATTTTTTGAATATCTTTGTTCTTCGATCCAGCGGCTCAGTTTAACTTTGATGAGGTCTTCTCATTCGTAAAGTATATTGAATAATAGTAAAGTTATACTTAACAGTTCCATGAAAAAGCCAAGTCGGTAAAGGTGCAATAAAATGTGTAATGGTCTCAAAAATCGATTAAATTATACTCATTAGACGCGTTTTTTTTTTTATAAAACGAAAGAATCTGGCAGAAATAAGCGTCGCTCTACCCCGCGAAACGATATATTAAATGTTAAAATTGACGACTATTGAGGTTAGGATATATGTCATGGGCTACGTTCCGTTTGACGCATATGCGCGCATTCCCCTAAAGGCCGATATTTCATGTGTCGTACGACAAGGCTTTTCAAGCCTGTTTATTGGCTGTAAAACAGAGAGATCCGAGAATCTCTCTGTCCTATAGCCAATCAACGTGCTTGAAAAGTTTGTCGACCGACACATGAAATATCGGGCAAAATGCGCTCATATGCCTGAAACAGAACGCAGCCATGGTCACGTAAGAGCCCAAACACAAGCTTTTGCATAACGCATAATACATAGTGCATAAGAGAATCAGCCAATCAAAGTATTTCTTTTCGTTGAAGTAGAAGGAAAGGAGGACTTCAGATTGGTTGATTCTCTTATTTACTATGTATTATACGTTATGTAAAAGTCTGTGCTGCCCGCTTAACACTGCGATGTGAGCATACACTGCGGTCACATTTTCATATTTTGTGGCCACATGCGCATGCGTTTTTATAAGTATGCGTCCGAAAAAGAAAATAACCACTAACGCATTTTTCATGCGTTTTCTATAAGGCTGCGTATAATGGAGGAACAGATATTAGATATTAAAATATTAGATAACCTATCAGATACCAGTTACACCGGAATACACGATTCTGATAGGTTAATATTTTAACATCTAATATCTGTTCCTCCATTGTGCGCAGCCCTATTGTATTGTTGAGTATGGGTTTCGACTTTAAAGTTTAAAGTTGCAATATTGTTGGTGGCTGCCGCTGTGTCCGGCAGGTGACTGCGGCGGTTGTTGGTACTATTGGGTTGATAATAAAATTTCGATAGTTTTCGAAACATTCGAATGTATTCGATAGTAAAAACTATCGATAGTATTCGATAGCACTATCGAGGTTTAGCCAACACTACTCCTCAGTTCAACTCCGGATCTCCTACTGTCAAGACGCATTCAAGTGTAAGCCGTCAAGTCCCTGCTTAGTGCACACTTTCACTCCGAGTTACTCCGCTTCATCAGAGGCGACAAATTCCTTTACAATCCAATTCCTTTCTTTAATTAATTCAATAATTAAGTTCATTATACGCCATACGTTACAAGCGATTATAATACAAGTTCATATTATTACTCCATAATTATTAATCGATTATTACAATTTATAACTACGTTATTTACCTTGAATATAATTATTAGTGATTACTATTCAACGTTCACATTTATATTACATTATTGTTAAAGACGTGTTAGTTAATCGACTAATTAACCGAGTTTTATGTTTCACTGTTTAATTATAATTACTTTTGTATCAATACTTGACAATATATTCAATTAATTAATCCTTAATTAACTCTGAAGATTCATTTATTACAATTTAGCATCCTATCCTTTGTCCGCGTCAATCCAGTTAGTGCGCGTTTGCGAGATAAGGGCGCGTTATCGGCAGCCGCATACATCAACATCGTAGCCAGCCAGCCAACCTTATCGCCGTCGCCTGGGACCTGTTGACTGCATTCCAACCGGATGACGACAGCCTGTACCGGAAAAGGAGCCTATACACTCAGTGTACTACTATTTAACAAGTAAGTTAATGAAAAGGTTAGTGGGAATACAAGTGTTATAACAACGCGGCACCGCGTACGGTATTTTTAGGGAGGCTCATACCATTATTCATTTACACAATAAACTCTTTTAAGATTATTTAATAATACATTAATTGATTAATTCACGCTATTTAACATTGACGCTTTCACTCAAAGATATTTAGAATTTATTAAATATGTTGACCGCTCGCAACATATCACATATCTCTATTTTATTGCGTTGACCGCTCGCAACGCCTTGTGATCATTTGAATATTTTGGAGCCCATTTATACAATATAGTGAGTTATTAGAATAAGTAATTTTACGGCTGCATGTCTGATCAAAGGAGAGCTTCGGCTCCCGTTTCAGTCGTTACTGACGCGGCCTTGCCGTACCAAGCTTGGTTGGAAACAGCGCGTTTTTGCATCGCAACATTTTATCGTAATACAGAAACCGGTTATAAACTTTGTTTCGATTGCTATCATGGATACACCCTTGTCGAGAGAGCTAATTACATAGGCGTAATACGTCACTATATTTCCTTTGAAATTAATTACGATTTCGATAATTGCTATAAATGCCACGGTGGCCACGCTAATAGTCGACCAATACAACACTGTGATCGCTGTCCTGACGCTTTTCGTGAATTCGTCCAGTATTTAATTCACTCCGGCAGTAACCCCTACGACGAACCGGGCTGCACGATAAATATCGTTTTTGAAGAATATTTTTAATTATTCATGTGTCCCCCATCAAGGGCAGTTATTAATGGAAATTTGAATTTAATATCTCGCTCTCCACCCCAAGCTTGGGTCGACACGGCTCGCTGCTGCACGGAATGGTACTATGAACACATATTAAATAATTTAAGAATTTGTACCACTTGTTATTCTGAAAAATCTTCCTACGACCAGGGATTCTATATTAACATATTTTCACATTATATGTAAATCGGGGAAATATTTGATAACGACAAATGTGCAGGTTGAAATCAGCAATACGTAAGAATGTCCTTAGTTAACTTTTGCAATATTTGCTCCCCGACTTTAAATGATTTTATTCAATATTTAATACATTCGGGAGATACCCCGTACAGCGATGATGATCCAACTTATTTATTTATCTCGAGGAAAAGATATCAATAAATAAAATAAAATTTTCACTAATTTCTCCTAACCTATCCCACCAAAAGCTGTGGCAGTCACACGTCCGTGAGAAATAAATTGGGACTGACCGCTATGGCATAACACAAGGTATCGAACTATTTGTATATCTTTATGATATCGTTATATACGCACCCTCACTCGAAGGACACGAAATAAAATTCGACAGACTTTTGAAAAGATTATCTGACGGTAATCTCTCACTACAACCAGACAAATGTGAATTTTTAAAAAGAGAAGTAGTTTACCTTGGACACATTATAACCGAACATGGAGTTCAACCTGACCCCGCTAAAATAGCAGCTGTTAAAAATATTCCTACACCAAAGACTCGAAAAAATATTAAACAATTCCTTGGATTAGTAGGATACTATCGAAGATTTAATGAAAATTTCTCAAAGATTGCCAAGCCTCTATCTGATCTAACTAAACAGACTGTAGCATTTCAATGGACAGATCGACAGCAACAAGCATTTGAAAAATTAAAAGAAATACTTTTACTCCGAACCTATATTACAATATCCGAATTATAACGAACCATTTATTATCACCACTGACGCATCTGGTTACGCAATTGGCGCTATATTAAGTCAAGGTATTGTTGGAAACGATTTACCTATTGCTTACGCATCTAGAGTACTCAACAACGCAGAAACACGTTACTCACCGACAGAACGAGAATTATTAGCGCTCATATACGCAGTAAAACACTTTAGACCTTATGTCTATGGAAAGAAATTTACATTGATCATAGATCACAAGCCTCTCGTATGGTTAAACTCAGTCGCAGATCCGACTTCACGATTAATGCGATGGAGATTGAAATTAGCAAAATATAATTACGAAATTAAATATATACCTGGAAAGAAAAATCAAAACGCTGATGCTTTATCACGAAATCCTGTTATTCTCAATGAAATAAAAGCAATTTATCCTCTAGAAGCTAAACGAGCATTACCTACAACAAGTTGTTATAGCCCGAATGGCTATCACTTATTTTATCAGTTATTTCATTTCAACCGGCATAGCAACCGGCACCGGAAATGCAAGTCTGCACATTCCTGAAAACCGCGCGCGAATAAAGCAACGATGGAAGACCATAGCGCGCGCGATATCATACCTACTTGCATTCGGCGTGACAACCGACAGCGGAAATGCAAGATTGCAGATTCTTTAATCACGTGATCGCGCCTCTAGCGCGATGAATATTACCATATATGGTCCGATCGGCGACCAAAAGCGACATTATCAAACCCAATATAAGCGACCGCCTAATTGCGGAGCAGAGAGTCTTGTCATACATCTAAACGTAACGATACGTTACGCGCGTCGCGAGAACCGAGTCATATTACATCCGCGATAACGAGTGTCGCCGACCGGTCTAAGTCACGAGCGAGGACTTTAACCCGAGTATTATTCTTTTAATTAAATCCAACTATTATAATCAACTACTCGAATTGTAACAATCAAAGTGTAATCTTTTAATCGGGTAATTGTACCAATTCAACAAAGGGTTAAATGTAATCAGTGGTAATAACCACTCGAAATTGTAAGTGTTATAATAAATAAAAGGGGTTATTTTAATAAAAGTGTGGTGCAGTGTGTGTTTGTTCTACGACCTTGACCACTTTCCTTGTTTTCCTCGTGGGTTCCAACCCTTTGAGCGGATCGAATCCCAAAATAATATCTTGTTGCACCGAGAGGTACAACAAAGTGGATCATCAGAGCATGAACATAAGAAATTAAAAGTAACACATCCTACTGCAAAACGTCCAGTACCACTAAGTAACGATGAATCTGGAAATCCCGCTCCTCATAAGAAGATTAAACCTGCAGAATTATCTCCTTACATAGATACAGATAACGAACAAAACTCTAAAACTGATGACGATACTACAAGCTCTTCATACGAAACAGACTGGGAAACAGATCAGACAAATATACGATATAAAAGT